ATATTTGGCAAGTTGCATGCTGAGATGAAGGACTATAAAGTTTGTTCAACATAATAACCTTGTTTGACTTTCAAAGTCACAGGGGTCATATGTGTCTAAATCTTTGAACAGGTTCTCATGAATGACTTATAGCCATAAACACTGATATTTTGCCTGTAAGGTTTCACTTTCAAGGTTACAAGTCTGAGATTAATACCAGGTGAGCGATGCAGGCCCATTGGGCCCCTTGTTTAAACTGTGTCGTACTCAAGATTACAGAAACATTATTTTACAGTTAGCTCTTAGCAGAGATTTTGCAATAAGTAGAAAATCCGTATCTTGATTTTCCAATTGACACATACTGATATATATAATTCATATTTGACCAAATCTTTCAATATGAATTAATGCATCACGTTCTACTAATATATATTATGTGTTGAACTTTGTAACCAATCTCTGATTAATATAAGCTATGATGAATTACTATCTAAAAACTATATATGTACTCCACAACCCTGTTGCAATATTGTCATACTTCCTTGCCAAGACATGCAAAGTGGGTGAGTCACAATATCACCAGAACCCTAGCCTGTGGCGACATTGCCGAAAGTGCACCAGAACATTCTGGCTTTATGGGAACATTCTGGCTTTATCGCCAAAAATGCGCCAGTAGGACTTTCATGGCAATGCAAATAGTGTGCCTCAATATCACCGCAAAGATGTGGCAATATTGCCGAGTATGTGCCAGGACATTCTGGCCATATGGCAAGAAACCTGATTCGCAAGCGAAATCTGAACGTGCTGCGCTATCACAGCAATAGTGTGCCAGGGACTCAATATATCTGTAAGGGGACATTTAATTGAAATGAAAAAAATATAACAGATAAATCGAGGGACAAACAGATAGACAATGCGCCATGGCATAAGCTCACATGGCCCTTAAAGGCCAAGTGAGCTAAAAACACTTAAAAAATAAATAACATAATCTGTTGGTAAGTATTTTATTGCAATTACAGTAAAAATGGCACATACAAAATAACACAAATTTCGTTGAAAATTCAAATGGTCCTCATCATTGAACAAATTTTATATTTGTATAGATAAATCACTAACTCATAAAATGTAAATTCTGAGCATTTTGGACAGCAGTATCGGATTTTTACCAATCGCCAACCCACACACACTCATTAACAAGCATATGTTTCACCAAGCTTAAGCCACACATTTAAACATGAGAGGTAGCCCATACAATAGACACACCCAGTAATTTTTCAATGGAATGTAAAAGTTTGAAACAAAAATAAAGCACAGATATTTGTGTGGAATATGCTTTTAAATGTATGAATTAAGGATCCCCGTCCCACTGCAATGTAGTTTTGTTTGTTTATACAGTAACCTCCCCTTAATTTCGTTTTAGATATAACTATATTACATTCTGACCAAGACAGTTCTGTTGACCGTGTACAGGAAGCTCAGTGGGTTCAAGTGTAATGCATCAATCTGAAGTCATTCCTTCGAATCCCGGTGTAGTCACGCTGATTTTTTTCAAACCAAGTGTAATGCATCAATCTGAAGTCATTCCTTCGAACCCCGATGTAGTCACGCTGATTTTTTTCCAACCAGACAACTGTTGTTGATTATTTTTTGTTCTATCTATTATTTTTCTTAAAAGTCGCGTAAGGTATGGTTTTTCTTTTCAAAAACGATTTATCTAAGGTATAGTCATACGGGTAAAATCATTTTCCAGTGCACAGTTACATTTTTTTCACAGTGGTACAGGCATCCTTAAGACCGTTGGGACTTTGGGGTATCCTTGCAGTTCTCACACCAATCACTCCACTAACTGCTATAGTAATTAACTAATAAATATATTTTCACATTTACTTTGAAATGACAAGTGAATTTCACTGTAGTCGAATGAAAATGCTGAGTTGATAATTTCATTGATTGTTTGTTTGTGTGTGCTTTACATCCTATTAACAGCTATTGTCATTTAAGGAAAAAGCCCCCCCCCCCCCCCCCCCCCCCCCTAAATATATTATAATATATTGCATAGCTCTCATTTATTAATTCATCTAAAAGGTGTTTTTTTTAATCTTCTAATAGACTGTTCAATCAACTAGTTATATTTAATTTTACATTCCTTTTTTCTGTGTAAATATTTTTTCCCCATTTTCCTTAACCATCAACAAAAGAAGCGTCACATCTTTTATCAAACATATGAATACCGGATGCTTCTTCCTTATCTTCAAAGGAATTTTCATATAAACACCATGAACATATGTACATGAATTGAATATCCTCTACAAATGTAAGTCACGGAGCCTGAAATAAACAAATGATGAATGTCCTTTTCATGAGTTTTCATAAATGATCCAAATGATATTCATATATGTATTGTGCTCCATATACAGTATATATGTGCAGATGAAAAACTACGGTTAATATGTACCAATGTGTATGAAAACTTACTACAACAAACAACATTAAAAATCAGATGCTAAATTTTACAACTTGTGTGGTTGATATTGCCCATTAAGGAAACCATGATAAATCAGAATTACCATATTCAACTAAAGTCATAAAAAAAAAAAATGAGCATTTTTTATTACCATAAAAAACCCATGTAATTTGCGCACCTATGTAATTTGCACAGGTATTTTTGAGGCTGAAAATCCCCAAAAAAGCTTCTACTTGATATTTGCGCACCAAAAAAAAAAATGGAAAAAAAAATTCAAGTTCCGAAAATCGATCTCTGAAAATGAAAGACAAACTGCTTGGGATTCTTAGAATTTTTAGTAAGAATTATTCGAGTAGAAATAATATTTATAATTAAATTTAAGTTCTATAATATAATGTTATTTCCTGCTTAAATGAGGCATAAAAATAGAAAAATGAAAAAAAATCCATATACATGTATAAGTCTATCATAAAACTAATTTAATTAAATTAAATACTAAAAATAAGATAAGTATATATATTCAGTCAGATTATGCCAAAAATATTTGTAACCATTGTAGCGTACACAAACAAATAAAACCCTTACTATCCTTCATCACCAGTTTTCCCAGGTAGAGAGAAGTAGTTCACCACGAGAGATTCTTTACAAAAAGACAACAAACTCGAGTAAATATGTATAACTATCTCAAGCAGGCACTAGAATGTTTATTGTTGAGCAATAAACTCGAGAAACTTACCTACGAAGATCTGACATTCACGATGACAAATGCCAGTAAATTGTGACTTGTATTATGCATAGAAAGAGGGAATAGAAAAGACTGAATGATGGTGGAGACTTATAGTAAAGAAAAACGTTGGTTTTATCTCCATTTTGAAGTATATCAAATCCCTGGGTAAATAAATTTGGTTCACTAAGTAAAACATTGTTTCTTTATACATGTAGATTTACCATCATAAAACTACTGAATTTATTTCTGTGGAAGATACACGTTAAGTAGTGTTATGAGAGACAATATCAACTATCGACAAAACGGCAAGAATATTAATTTTGCAGGAGCCCATTGACTTACACAGCATATGTCCATTTGAAAAAACAAGCCATTCGGATTGATATGTCTTGCCTTTCCCCCCCCCCCCCCCCCCCCCGGTTTGACCACCAATGCGGTCTATGGTCCAAGTTTGGTTGGTCTAGCACTTACACTTTCAGTGAAACTAAGTGAAACGCAAAAACTTAATGTTGACGCTGCGGCCGGAAAAGCAACACCTTAAAGTCTCGCTTCTGCTACTTCGTTGCAGCGAGACAAAAACTGTAGGCTTAATTTCAATGGAAAAGTTAACGAAGCAAACGGATCTAAAACTGTAAGTCACTGAAGTTTTTAAATGTCCCAGCCAATCAGAGGCTGTAGCAGCCATCTTGAATCCCAAAATATAAAAGTCGGCCTTCTAAAATAAAGAATGTACCCCTCTGATACCTCATGTTGTACATTGTAATGTATCTAAGGAAACCAATAAACTTGTAAACTTGATATTATGCTCTTGTATAAAGTCCTAGTAAGACACCAGCTGGAATATGATGCACATTTGAAATCTATGAGATCCACACCTCCAAACAGATATAGAATAGATGAGCTGTATAAATTAAGACTGTCTTACAATTTTTTTTACCACAGTAAGAGAGACTGTGACAACTGGAATTGGAAAGTTCTGCACGAAACCAAGAGTTCCCAGTAAAAGCCAACATGGTTGGGCAGGCTGACCTTACACCTTTTCACATCCAATCAGGGACATTGGACCCCTGCTGTCTTGGTGAACGGCGAGTTAGCTACCCACTACGCCGTCCAATCACCCACGGTAAGTCTTTGGTAACATATCTTGATAAAAGGGCAGTGTTTAGGAAATCTCTAAGTTTTTATAAATGTATTATGTTATGATTATGTTTATACAAATAACATCTCAAACCTTCCCCTATAACTAGTCCCTATTTAATTATAAACTCCTATATGCAGGCAAAATAAGCCTGTTAAACAATCAACACCAAATTCATGATTAGTACCAAAAAATGATTTCCTTATATAAAATTTAAAAAAAACATAAATATATATATTTGCAAAAAATTGAGAGAAAAAAAAACAACAACACAAAAACAAAGATCTAAATAACTGTGTAAGCAACCACCATTAAGTGCAAATCACTTAAGGCAATGAAGCTTGCGTATTTAACCCTTTCACCCCTATGTAGCTTTAGTAGACTCTACCATGCATTGATTTGGACGAGTCCATTATGGTCTACAGTGTTGAAAGGGTTAACATTATAAAATTTGCAAAATTAACATTCACCTCTGGGATAGTGCATACTGGGAAACTTTTGTCCAGTAAAATATTTACCCTTACTGTATATCTCATAACAAAGACAAAAAGTACACTGTGGTGATGTTTTTTTCGGTGTACAGCCATGTTATTTCCTATAACATGGCTGTTTCTTTTCCTTTTTTCTACTTTTGCCAACATTTTTAACGTTTTCATCATTTGAACTTTTATATTATTTCATAGAAACACATGTTGTTTATAAAAACATTCTTTATCCGAAATCAATTTATCTTTCGTTTCCGTAACAACATACCAGATTTTTTGAAGTCTGTCTATGATGACACAATGTTTCATTAGTTTCATTGGGCATTCTTTAATATTGTTTGTTTGCAGTTTCTCTACTCATATGTTTATCAGTGGCCAGGTAGGAAGGGATTTGTTTTTCGTTTTAGAAATCTCATATTCTACATAAAAATCAGTGTCAGTGGTTTTTTTTCTTTCCCCTGTCTTAAAAAAAACTCATACCAAGAGTTCTAAAAACAAACTTGAGTAGGTGGGTCGGTTCGGAAACTGCAAACAAACAATTTTTTAAAAATGGTCTTGCTGAATTTGTCTATGGCTTTGGCCCAAGGTCAATGGGTACGATGTTGGCATTGTCCACGAAATCTGGCCGTTTATAAACATTCTGGTTCTTGAGGTTGGTCATTTTGAGGACCCAGGCCTCAGTCGAGGGGAGTTGGGTGGGCGAGAGGTTGGGGAAAGTGATGTCGATGGTGCCGTTGACTCCCTTGCTATATTTGAGCTCTTTGCCAGGAACTCCAAGCATCTCGATGACGGTGGTTGTCTGGGTGACCGGAGCCAACAGGCTAAGGACGCCTTTCTTCGGCCACGAGAGGACAATGGCATATACACCAGTAACGTTCACCGACTTCCTGGTGGTATACCTGAGGAATAAACAATCGATATATTCAATAAGTCCTACAGGCTCAGAGAAGAAATATTCAGAGAAGAATCATTAAACAATGGTTATGATGACTATAGATACATAAACAAAACTCATATCTTTGAATCCTTGCAGCTAATTGTTTTAGGGACTTTTTTTGAAGGAATTGGTGAAAGAAAGAAGGCGCTCTCGTATTTTTTCCCCGATAATTCACTTTGTGAACAGACCGTTTGCGTTATTTTTTCACTTGTTGTAACTATTTTGTTTTGTTTTTGTATATATAGAAAATATATGAAAAACAACCCCTACCTCATTCTTGCTTTGATGGAAATTTGGTCTAACCAAAGTCTGTGACACATAGAGTTAAGGTCACAGTGATTTACATTTGAGATATTGGTGTACAGTGCACATCAATATATATCCATACATGAAATTTGATGACGGTTGGACTTCTAGTATCAAAGTAAATGCAAAATAGACTCAAGATGTCTTTCAGACAGACTGAAAACAGGCAAACACTTAATGTCTTCTCAATTATGTCGCTGGGGTGTAAAAAATAGAATAAGATTGTGGTACTTAGGGACTCACCAGACACCCAGAGTGGCGTTATCCTGCTGTGTGTGCCAGGGTTTAGATTTGTAGATGGCCTCTCCATTGACCTTCATCCACGCTCCAAAACTCCTTAATCTCTCCTCAAATATAGGAATGATTCGGCCATCAGCGTCGGGACCAACGTTCATCAGAAGGTTTCCTCCGCAGCTAGACAATGTCGAAGATGACAGGTCAACAGAAAATTCAAAACATTTATACTTTCAAAGGTTACTAGTTTTTGTCACATGACGCTTGTTTCTTCTTCCCTGTAATTGGCTGAACTGCAAAACCACACACCTGTACTAGAGTTAACAACACAATCCCATAAAATTGACTTAAAATAGTGACAGGGGATTTCTGTGTTAAAAGATATTTTTATGATCAATCAGAAAGCAGAAATGTTGATCATTTGACAGTAAACTAAGGCAGGCAGCAAGAATCAAATTTCAACATTCAGTAGTATCGTGGATGATTGTTTCAAATATTTTTTTAATGTGAGATGCAGATGGAGAGATGACAGAACTAGTGCTTTGTTAAATACATCTTTGCTACATACAATGAGGTATAAGATATACAACTGATAACCGAAATCTTACTAAATAATAGCAAGAAATGGTAACATTGTGTTGTGCAGCCTTGTTGTCAAGCACGACATCATAAGGATAGGGTGCCAAGATAATATAATGGAACAAATTCCGGCACTTTTTCAATGCAGCAGCATTTTTTTATCATTGAAAGTACATGTGTACTCAAAAATGTAAAAAGAGAAAATTCATATTTTTTCTCTCTCAATGAATTCCATATATATTTCAATTGTATAGTTGAATAGTGTACAGCAATAGTTTCACTTGTGCTGATCACACACGTGAATACAATTGGTGTGCTGCCAGGCTTGTGAAATAGATATGGTATTGAACTAGAAACTTAAACAGAGATCTCCTCATTATATATTTACCTTACGGTCTGTGACAATGTAGTCAGGAGATCATGTACAGACAGGACATCTTGGTCGGTGATGTCTCGACGATGAGTCCATGCCTTGCTATCAACGGTCATCGCATTTTCCCACTTGTGAGGCAGAACCTTTCCTGTTGATTTGAAATAATTTAAACTTGAAACAGCTAGCCACTTGAAGTACTGGCTACCATAACGGTACTTGAGTCAAGTCAAGTTAATTTCTCACAAAATAACTGTATGTTACTCTGAGGCAAAATGATATTTGTAGTATCAAAACTAAATTCAACTATTCAATTGATTCATAGATAATAAATTCACCTGTTCATTTGATTCATATTAACTCCCTGATTGGACATGAAAAGATGTTGGGTCACCTGACCCTGTAGGGTTTTTCCAGGTACTCCAGTTTCCTCCACATTATGACCCCCTGCACGCTTCCATTCGGGCAAATAAGAGTGATTAACCCTTTCACCTCTATGTAACTTTAGTAGACTCTACCATGCATTGATATGGATGAGTCCATTAGGGTCTACAGTGGTGAAAGGGTTAATATAAACTGTAATAGCTTGTTTCATAATTGTCACAAAATAAATAAAGTTTACATCATTCAATCAATCCCAGAGCTGGAAAGTTGCAATCAACAGCTGAATATCCTATTTATAACATTGTCATTGGTTAATCTAAATAACCTTCACCCAATGAAACATGTACATAGAACTTGGATTCTGCCGTGTCTTTGCAGAAAGTCAGGTCAAGTGACCTTCTGAATATTTTTTCAATATCTATAAAAAATGTATGATATTAAAGTAGTTTTATAAACATACCAACATGATATATCCGTTTCAGAGTGTTTATTATTCAAATTAGGAGAAAAATACATTCAGATTTTTGTCACTGATGCCGAGATTATATTACCATGGTGACATTGTAATTTTATAGCATATGGGACCACAAGTAAATTTGCAGAGATCTCTTTTCTTTCCATTTTGACATTTATGTGATTCACCAACTTATTTTTAACACAGAAAAGAAAAGGTGAATTTTACCTTATTTGAGAATTTTAGTAAGAGATGGGATTACAGAATTATGTTGGATTAGACAGGATGTCGGAATACTCAGGTGTCAGATTTGACAATTAAGTTACAATTTACTTTCTTCTTTACCAACTTTTAACTTTATGGGATGTGTTGTGATGTGTTGGGGACGTGTTGTGATGTGATGGGGACGTGTTGTGATGTATTTGGGACGTGTTGGGATGTGTTGGGGACGTGTTGTGATGTATTGGGGACGTGTTGTGATGTGTTGGGGACGTGTTGGGATGTGTTGGGGACATGACAGATACTTACCAGGATTGTACTTGTCCTTGCAGTTCCAGAAGCCGCCGTGTTTACAGTAGAGTCCCGCTCCCCAGCGGTCATTGCTAACAATGACATCCTTCACAGGGCTACAGGACAAATTTCAAGCATTATCATTAAAAAAACATTTCGTAAAAGCAAAAAAACTTCTTTAGGTATATATTTATGAACATATTTGTTTGCAGCGCTGACACAAACTTTCAAGGGTGGTTGCCGATTGTTGTTAGGCTTGGCCTGGACAATTGCCAAGGAGCACAGAAACATGTTCGTGTGCAGCGCTGACACAAGCTTTCAAGTGTGGTTGCTGAGTGTTGTTAGGCTTGGCCTGGACAACTGCCAAGGAGCACAGAAACATGTTCGAGTGCAGCGCTGACACATACTTTCAAGGGTGGTTGCCGAGTGTTGCTAGGCTTGGCCTGGACATCTGCCAAGGAGCACAGATACATGTTCTGAGCAGTTAAGTGAAGAGAATTACAGGGACCACTGGTAGTTTTGTCTCCATGGCTCCCTGGATGCTATATTCTCTAAGTTGTCCTTCATTGATGTGCTACATTTTTGCTATTTGCAGTTAAGGAATGGGCCTTGCATTGGCAACAATAACAAAAATTCTACTCTAATATCTATCCATTTCAATATCTATGTTCAATTTGAAAATTCATAAATGTCATTTACCGAAATATAGTTTCTTCAACATTATTATTTTCATGATCTATAATTTCAGAACCAGAAGTGACTGGAAGTCTGGGAGAGGCTTCGGATGTCTACTGTTTAGCATGCATGCTGTTTTTATGACTGAAAATCAAGAGTAAAATTCAGGCAAATTTTATCAAAATTTCATGACAATTTAAGGCAGTACATTGGAAAGACAAAATAAAAGTTTTACCAGGCAAAGTTTCATACAAATGTCCTAAATATCTACTAGCTTTCTGTCTAGCTCTGATTGGATGTACAGCAGCCCTAGCGTAAGTTAAACCAGCCCCAGGCTATCTGACAAGCACTGGTGTCAAACCCTGATTTAACAAGAGGCCTAGAGGGCCTATAATCACTCACTTGCTATTTAAACAATCATGACAAAATATTGTCACATACATGGCTGATAACCTTAACCAAAAATGTTCATGAAATTCAGAACATGCAGACAGGGCCACTGGTTGATCAATTGAGTCGCTTATCCAGTCTAATTAAGACATGCAGCACTGTTTCGTCTTGATAACAACGAAAACAACTTGTTCAGATCAGTGGCTTTGTTCGACATATTTCAACTAGTGTGAAAACATAATGTAAGTAAAATGATGATTGATCTTAAAATTAAAAATTACAATAGATTTCCAACACAAACGACCCGACATCAACAAGATTTAACCTAATAAACACTGTTATTTTCTTCCAAAGTCCGATATATCTTTAATGCATCATTTAGATGTAAAACATGACCGAACAGGAGTTTCCAGAAGTTTATTTACGGTGTGTGTACCATTTTCAGTGAAAAGGTAGCATTATTTCGACTTGAATTTTTTTCTTTATATGACATTGATATGATGTAAACTATTCAAACTTTTGAGATAATCATTACCGTCACTACGACAAAGTGAACTTACATTATAAACATGGTGGCATGACTAAATCATGCATCACTACTTGATGCAATCTCACTTCGAAAAGTCGGTAATGAAAGGTGTATCAAGAGAGACACAGAAATAGAAAGTTATTGAAAAAGGGCAGAAAACATGTAAACTCTAGGACTGTAATTAATGAAACAGATCTAAGTCAGTTTCTTCAATGCTCCCTAAACAGAGTTTGTTTGTTTGTGTTTTACGTCCTATTACCAGCTATGGCTATTTAAGGACCTGCCAGGTTTTGGTGGTGGAGGAAAGCCAGAGTTCCCAGAGAAAACCCACCGACCTACGGCCAGTACCTGGCGACTGCCCCCGTAGGTCTCGAACCCGTGACCCAGTGGTTGAGGGCTAGTGGTAGCAGGATGTCAGACGCCTTAACCACTAGGCCACCGCAGCCTCCTCTGCTAAACACAGGATACTGAAGACAATCCTGATTCTGTAATGGCACTGACTTTGTATAATTTGGAATTATGCAAAGTAGATCATTTTTATTTCATGAAAACATTGAACCCATTGTGTTGAATAAACCATGAACCACACATAAGGTCAAAATGCAGTACATTGGTACAGTCTGAAAATGAATATAAAATTATTATGAATACATTAACTTTAATTTTTTTTTTCTTTTTTTTCCCAATATTCTTACCTTTCGTTGTACAGCCAGGCCAAGAAATTGGTGGAATTCCAGTATGTGTCTGGTGCTAACCAGTCTCCATCGGACCAGAGAATCTCTGGTTTGTACGTATTGATGAGTTCATACAGCTCGGGCATAGTTTTGGTCTACAAAATTTAAAATCAAATCAAGTTGTTTATACTCAGTGTTGAAAACAAGAGGCCAAACAGGCCTGTCTCTTTGATTGGTTTCTTTTGTTTTCTGAACCGGATACAATGTTGAAATGCATGCAATTCAAGCACACACAAGCAAAGAATTACAGTAACAACTTCAGGTAAGGGCAATGACATTTTTATGAAATTTGTATGAAATTTGGCTAAAATTAGGCGAAGAACATTTGTACAAAGTTGAAGTCTTGACCCACCCTGACAAAATCCTGAGTCGTGAAGAGATTAGCTTGATCCTGCAAAAAGAGTGGATTGTAGAACTCAAACAGGGAGTGGTAAACCCCAAAGTGGATGTCCTTCTTCTTCCTCACTGCCACAGCAAGCTCTCCTGTAGGTTTCAAAAAATACGTACATGGTATGAAATGTCATCTACATGTAACAGAGTACACAATTAATATAAGCACATTACATGACTGGGCAACAAAACATCGAGTCTCCCTGTCATTATCTCCCTCGTGCGACTCGGGTCTTCTTCACGCAATCTATTTTCTCATTTTCTCTATCAATTACTTCTTGATAATATCTAATGCCTGTCTTGATCGATGTGTTCCAACCAACAACAAAAATGCTGACCTGATACTCTTTTAATGTTAATTTTAATGTAGTAGGGAAATATGATTATTTGTTTCCCTACATTTAATGTTTAATGAGGTGAAGGGCAATACATGTATATTATCCTGTATCTGTGAATTCTGTTAACAGTCATGTCCCTAATTTCTCTTATTAGTGGACTGGTGGTACAGTAGATAGTGCACTCATATTTCATTAAGAAAGCTGGGGTTCAAATAAAGTAGTTAAATAAGAACTACTTTGGTCAAGTTATGAGGGGATCACCTCATAACCTGACCAAAATAGTTATTATTTAACTACTTTATTTCAATTATTACTTACAACAAGAAATGTTATACTTTTATACAATAAACTTTATGATCCCCTGTATATAGCTATATATAGTGACCCCAATAATTTTTAATGAATCAACTGCCTTTATAGTAATCCTGTGGTATTTTAATAATGTTGAAACACCGCTATCATATTTTAAAACAGTGAAACATTTGAATGTGTCTGCATCAACACCTTAAAAGTAATCAATTATTATAACGTGGATGGAATGCAAACAATTTATTAGCTGCACCCTAAAGCAAGTGTGTGAAAATAACAATACCACAAAAACTTGGTGGTACACAGTATATATCTTACCCAGTAAGTCTCTTTTAGGTCCAACATCACCAGCATTCCAGTTCCAGGAATGTTTGGAGGGCCACATTGTGAAGCCTTCATGGTGCTTGGTGACAAGAACAACATACCTGTCAAGTTAAACAGAACACTTCTTGTTTACAAACAAGCTTACATACAAATGTAGAACTGACTTATTTACTTGAGGCAAAGGGTCCCACTTTGAACCCGAGTTCTATTCAGGCATTTTTTTACTTGGGAGAAATTATCTCCCTAATATATACATAGAAGACATAGCATCAAAAACAACTTTTTTGCTGGCTTTGAGAAACTTTCTCTGTCAAATTATGCATCTTTTAACGTTTATTTTCTATTTTTAAAGACTTTGCAGCCAATACATTGGAATCTCATTTTGGTGCTGTTTATCTGTAACAGGGAAAGAAAAATGCACAGCCAGACCCAGGTTCGAACCCAGGATCTCTTAGACGGGACGCTCTACTAATTGAGCTACCTGGCCACTGGTAATCAACCCAGTCCAGTTCCCATACATTCCTCTCTCGTTTTTCTAAATCTTCACCCCTGAAATTAATGCTATTTACAACCGAGGTTTTGTAATAAAGTTTCACCCATATGCATTTCAGTAAAATACTTTTAATATTTTCTAACTAACCTAGTATTACTTAGCTTTGCACTCGTGCATGAAACAATGCAATACAGACTACTGGCCTCATGTATTTAAGCATTGAATGTTTTGCCAAATGTTGTCATGGTCCTATAACACACATTGCCATTGATGACACATCCTTAGAAACTATAGTCGGAAGAGACTGCAGGGAAGATCTCAAAACCAGAAAACAAATATTTTGATTTTTTTTTTTTAATCTCAATTGAAAGCTTTTTTACTTGCACTGTCAGCTTTAAAATTATTGGTAAATAAATTAAGAAGCTTAATAAAGCCTGTTAGGGAAAGATGTGTAATAGGACAATAACGATATTTACTGAAATATTCATTATTTATTTTTACATTTTGATCGAGTAGGTACGCTTTATTTAGTTATTTCGAACAGTTCTTTGAACAGCAAATTAAGTTTTAACAACAATGAAACTGATGACGTCACAATAGAGATTGTTGATTTTACAATAGCAAATATGTTATAGTCTAATACCAACATTTGCCTTCTCCATGCATTGTAATGGAAGGATGCAGAGCAAATGTAAATATATTACTATGCAATACAGACAACTTGCCTAAAGTAATTTAATACTGGATCAGGTTTCATGTATAGCAGTATAACACAATGTAATAGATTGATCCTTGATTCTGCCCTCATGTATATGTATTGTACAATATAATGCGGACAGCTGCGCATGCCTACCTGTATAATGCTGTATATGGATGCCAGCGGCCGGCCTCAGTAGTAAAAGTTTATTATTTATTTACATGCCAGTAAAATTGACTTTGGCTAAATCAATAAATCCAATTGCCTGCTGATTTGAATACTTAAACCAGCTGGTTTGTAGTTACGCTACAATTTATTGTAAGTTAGGATAAATTTGAGTAGGTTTTGGCTACCAGACGGACAGCTGAAGGGATTTGCTTTAATATTAGCATATTAATTAAGTAATTACTTATTTCATGTTATTTTGGGATAAAGAATTGTTTCATGATAACTGTTTTTCTCTGTGTTATATGTTGTGATACTTATTTCTTTGGTGCTGTCATTTTTGACGATTATACAAAAGTGTTGTTGGGAGGTGGATTGCATATATTAGCCCAATAGATATTTCCAGTCATATTTTTGTTTGTTAACTCATTCACCCCTGAAATTTCATAATGAACTATTCAGTGGCGAATCCAGTTTTTTTTTTGGGGCTTCAGGAAACACCCCCAGACTTAAAAAATCATGTATTTTTACCATTTTCCTCAATATTGGAAACCCCCCTGGAAATTTGGAAACCCCCCAAGATAGGTATCTGAATCCGCCACTGCTATTCTAACCTTTGAAATGGAAGAGTTAAAATGTGTCTTCAGGGGTGAATGAGTTAAGATAAAGGAGGGTAAAAATGTCATTTAGAATATGGATATGATAAGTTTAAGGGCTGTGTAAGGGATATGGGCTTTGAAGTCCTCCAGTGTTGTGCTCTGTAAACTGCGGCTGGTTTAGTCTGGCCTAGCATACATTTCTAAAATATCTAAAATAATGTCCTTGCCTGCATGCACGGTCCCTATTACTTCTATACTAATACCAGTGATTTTTCAACCTAAATTTCACACGAGCCTGTTCCTAGCTACATGTATGCCGTCTTTGCGTATTGCAGAGTTATCTTCTCTTGAGAGCAGGTATTGATTGTTACGTCATTTGTTTGTGAGAGTAACGTCATCAATTTTTGAGAAAACGACGTAATTTTCTCACACGAACCAATGATGTAACAATCAATACCTGCTCTCAAGAGAAGATAACTCTGCAATACGCAAAGACGGAATATGAATTGGGAAAATATGGTTATATATTTATTGAAATTGGGAAGATAATCCTGATTTTTTTCTCTCTTCATTTTTGGGAAAATAAAGCCCTTTTTAGCCAAGGGAACCAGTCTGAACTCGGCTGTAAAACTAGGCAAAAAAAATAACTGGATACACATCGGTATAAATATGATAATACAATATACGAAAACAATTTGCACTTTCGGACATCTATAAATATATATATATACAGATATTACTTTGTTGTAGTAGACTAGTCCTAATGGGTTTATCTGAATGCGTTTTACTTTGTACGCTTTTAACCTACCAGCTTTTAACAGGACGTGTCTTACCGGGACGACAAAAGAGATGTATTATGAGTTGGGCGTGGACCTTCAGTTGAAATACGATCATACAGCTTCACATCACACTATTTCACTATGACGTGGATATAGGAATACCAATGGCTGTGTCTAGCCGTCCACAAATATCCTATTGAATTCTATTAAATTACCATACTGTACCACAAAGAGAATGTACCTACACATCTGTGTATGAATGAAGTCATGCATGAATACAAAATCAGTAATGAGAGAGATAGCTGGTTATAAACCTATGTTCACCGACACGACATTTTTATATAAACCTACACACCACTCGACAACATCAATTGAGGCTACACTTGTGCATGAGCTATTTTGAATTTGCTATGCTCATACAAAATATATATCAAAAGGCCTAACGGTCTAGATCACTCACCTGTTACAAATGGTGCTAGCAAAACATAGTATTTATAAATATATTCTTTTAAGTACTGAAAAGAGGTTATCCGAAGATTTAAACATATTTGACAACTGTGACCTTGAAAGTTGGCTAAGGTTATTAATTTGAACAGAGTTGGAAGCATTTCCTACCCAGCATGCTTTTAGCCAAATATCATCACCTTAAGACTTTTTGGTTATTCAGAAGAGGTTGTATGAAAATGTAAACACATTTGACCCTTGTGACCTTGAAAGCTGCTCATAAATAATTTATAACTTCACCCCAGGCTTTTCGGTTTTTCAAAATGAGTTTTTTGAAGATTCATCAAACACTAAGCACCAGTAACCTTGAAAATTAGTCAATTCAATCATTTGAACAAAATGTGTAGCCCTTCATCCCAGCATGCAACGTTAACTGGCTAAATATAATCACCCTAGGCATTCTGGTTATTCAGAAGTTGTTTGGAGATTTAAAAAAAAAAATCAACCCAGGCTGTGACCTTGAATGGGGGTCAATGTCATTCGTTTCGACAACCTTTGTAGCCCCTCATCCCAGTATTCAACTGGGCCTATATTCACAGAGGCCTTTTGATAGTTTTGATAATTTAGAAGTTTAAATATTTTAGCACAATTGGCCCGACTAACCTTGAAAGTGGGTTTAGGTCAACCGTTTGAACAAACTTTGTTGCCCTTCATACCAGCATTCTACTTGCCTAATATCATCACCCTGGGTATTTTTGTAATTCAGGAGAAGTTGTTTGAAGATATATAACATATTTGATCCCAGTGACCTTGAAAGCGGGTCAAGGTCAATCATTTGGACAAACTTTGTAGCCCTTCATTGCAGCATGCTACTGACCATATATCATCAATCTGGGCTTTTTGCTTATTCAGGAGAAGTTGAATGAATATTTTAACATATTTGAACCCAGTGACCTTGAAATAAGGTCAAGGTCATTAATTAGAACAAACTTTGTAGTCTTCATCCCAGCTTGCTATTGGTCAAATACCATCACCCTGGGCTTTTTAGTTAATAGTAAGAAGAAGTTGTTTTAAGAAAACAGTTAACGCCGCGCCAGGTGAGCTGAAGACCTGTTAAAGCACTTGGGTGTGACAGATTATTTTCTTGATACGGTAGGTCTCATGATTCAAATCTGATCAAATCTTATAACTATGGTAGCAGCAGGCCAAATATCATGACCCTGTATATTGTGGCTCTTGTAAAGCTGTCCGTTAAAGCTTTTAACACATTTGTCATGAAAAGGAGAATTAATTTTGGTGATTTTCAATCTAATTAAAATCATATCTTCACATCGCTCCCGTTTACTGATATGTCGCGTTGAAGATCTAACAACATCCCGTAGAGTGTCATGTTCAGGCGACCTTTGCATTAACCAATCAGATGAGAGCTTACGCATTTCTGTAAGTGATGATGTAATGATTTCGGAACACACTTGCTATGATAAAAGACCGAGAGGTGTCAAATGAGCATCGAAAATGGCGGCGCCCATGACACCACACTGTGTCTATCTTCAAGACAACGTTTGTACAATTTGTGGATTTTGCTTTGAAATAAGAGAGACTTCCTCTTCTGGTGATGTTGTCGTTAAAAAGTTTAACAACCTGAAACTAAAATTAACCAATGACAGGCTTCGCAATATTCAAACTATCACTGGACCAGACGAAAAAGTGGATTTTGGGCTACGAGGTGTCTGCATTAAATGCTACAGGTCCTGCTTTCTGATTGGTTGAATGAAAGAGTTATATCGCGTTTTGATTGGCTTGTTATGAACGCGATAATGCATTCATGTTGACCTCTGACGTGACCCTCTATGGGATGTTGTTAGATCTTCAACGCGACATATCAGTAAACGGGAGCGATGTGAAGATATAATTTTAATTAGATTGGGTGATTTTGGATGCCTGCAGTTTTGTACTGGTAGACACTCCACCATCCCATTAGTCACAGTAGGTTACAGAATACAGATATATTTAAGAATATTTAAATAGACTCGGAAGCAATAATATACATCTACACATTGGCAGGGCCAGAGTTGTGATCAGGTGAATTAAGCCCTGTTAACCCAGGTATTTTCCTTGAAACATGTATTAGTATGTTAAATAATGTAGGAGTTGCTTGCAGATTCCATTGAATTTCGTCTCACCTTGCTACACAGGTGCAAATATATAACATTTACTAACCTGTGTGTTATTGATTGATGGCAGTGTCAGTGACTGACTCAGCTGTATAAGGCCAAATACAAAAAAGTTGTTTGTTTCTGATTTCCCTATCAACCCTTATTTGTTGTGCCTACCCAAACCCTTTTTTGGCAATTTTCAAGGAAGCACTGTCAAAATCGAAATTGTTCGCCTATAAACCTTATAAAACTTTAAAAAAAAAAAAAAAAAAGACTATAAAAAATAACAATTATTACCTACCCTGATATTTTCAGACATGCAACTGGAAACAACCTAATTTTTGGTTTGGCCTGATTCAACAAAGGATATGAAAATAGTGAAATAAGATCCGCAACGCCACATTCAGATGAAAACATACCTGTATTGATGTTTTATGCATCAAGTGTATTCATTCTGCTCAAAATATTGATTTCATTTTTCGCATACCAGTAGGTGTTGACAAAAGGTGGAAATTGCAGTGACATACACGAGTATAAAGACAGTCGATTGAAATTCAGATATTGCGACAACATAATACATGTATAGTCATTTTGAAGGACTATGTATGGTTTGGGCCTGTTTCAAAACCTTTAAATGAACTTTGAAATGACTGTTTCTTTAATTTTGAATACTTCCCAAATACTATTATAAAACTATTTATTTATATTTCTAATTATTGTTGCCATGGTTACAAATTCAAATTTGCATAAATTAGAAAATTTGAATATTCAGTGAATATTGTGATATTTTGCATAGTTTTTCTCCTAGAAACTATAGAGCGCATGTTTGAACAAACTTAATATCAAAGGATAATGTGTAGGTACCTGTAATACATCTTGAGGAGAAATATAAAGTTTGTTCAAGAGTGCGCTCTATGGTAGCTAAGAGAAAAACTAGGTGAAAACCTGTCAAAATTGACTGAATAATCAAATTTTAATAATTTATGCAAATAGGGCATGGTAACCATGGCAGCCAAAATTGAAAACACAAACAAAGTTAACATAATAGTACTAGGGAAGTATTCAAAATTAAAGAAACATTCGTTTGAAAGTTCTACTTCAGATTTTTAATTTTGATGGATTTGGGGGCCAAAAAAGGCCCAAACCATACATAGTCCTTTGGGTGTGTTTTATTTTGGGTCATTCACTACAAGCTTGAAATAAACCAGGTCATAACCACATCAAAGTTGATCACGTGTGAAAAGATTGTCGGTGTCTACAGCATTCTTTTCTATGGTGATTTCATTACTAGCCTTGCACTTATAAATTTTATGGACTTTATTCAAATCTATCTGATGCTCTTCAGTGTCCTATCTCTAAAATTATGTTTCTAGTTGAAGATAGCAATAACATAATATTTCAAAAATTTAAGGATGGGGAGTGCATTTCATAATAGAACAAGTATATAGATCCAAATTTCAGAATATTTCCATATCCTAAAATCACCCATTCTCCTATTAATGCTTAAAGGAAATAGGAAGTAAATCCCTAGTTGAAAATCCAATGTAGGGAGACAGTATCACATTTTCAGCATATTCTAATGTTTAATATTAATATTGTATTTTTATTACTGACAGAACAGTGCGTTCTTTCAATATTAAAGTATTTCAAAGCAATCCAGGCATTAATTCAGGTTTTTTTTTTATCAATGAGTCACATGTGGCCATTTTTCTGTACTTCAGGAAACCGGCTACCTATTTCACAACTGTGAAGTTTTTCAAGAACGATAACTCTTAAGGTGGCTCCACACATCGTCATCAGCGTCCATTTTCGTGACGTACTTCTGGAAAAAGTACAGCTTGGACTCAATTATCTATTTGTAGGGTTAATAAGAAATGCTTCTTTTCATTTTATTATTGTTGTTGTTGTTCCGAACAATGTCACACACCAAAAAAAACGGAAAATATTAAAATTGACGAAAATTCAATTTTTTGGTATTTTTTCCAAAAAAGTCCCCAAACTATCGGAGTGTTTAGATTTTCATAAAATCAACTCTACATAGTTGCATAACCATTATATGAAAGTTTCAACGAATTTTGCTGGTTAATTGCGAAAGTGTGGAGCCACCTTAAATGCAATTACCATGTGTATATGGTTTAATTATAAAAAAAAAAATCGTTAATAAATAATTTATTTTACACAGGTTCAGCATTTATGAAATTGATTTATATTAATGCAATACTTATCTATGTCAGTATCATTTTTATTGACTTTATTTTGCAAAAAATTATGTTTCATGTTTTGTTTCAAAATTCACTCCTTTTTTACATAAAATTCCATTTAAAATCCTTAAAATTCTGACAACCTATATTTTTTTGTGGCAGAACATTTTCTTTACTTCAATATAACTACAAAATTTGAAGAAAATCTACTGAGAAATGGCGACACAATCCTATTACCTTAATGATAATCAGCTTCTATCAGAATACTGTACAAAAGTTTAAAAAAAATGTATTAAGGGTTCCCGTGCCACTGTCAAACAAAGAGATTATGCATTAATTTATTTTTCAGGCATAACTATACCTGAATAAATCATTTTTGTAAAGAAAAGTACACCATGTGTGACTTTTGTAGTGAAGATAAAATAAACAAAATATAATCAAAAAATGTGTTCGGAGCATCAAATTTCTGCCCGGGATTCAAACCCTGGACTTCAGCAGATTGTAAACCATTGCTGTAACTGATTGAGCTACCTGGACAATAGAAGTGTACGAGCCCAAATGTGCTACAGTCATATCCAAACGTTAGTTAAGGGGAGGTAACTGTACATAGGAAATACGGCAGTGCAGTGGGACAGGGATCCTTAAGTTTACATGTAAACAAATGTACTTGTTTCACCTCAGAGCTATGCACAGTGTACACCTGGTAAATTAGTCAATATTCTTTAAGTAGTTTCTCGTTGACAAAAGTTCACTATCATTCCCTATTGGGGATGCTAGTCTTGTACAGGTTCTATCATACAAAGCAACTACAAACTGGAAACTGAGGATATTAAAATAATTAAAAAGTGAATTATTGAACATATTCTTTTCTGCAAAAATAGTTCTATCAACCATCACAAGCCATTTGGATTGATATGTCTTGCTTGTGCCCCGCTTTGACCATCTAAACACAAAAACTTCATGTTGATGGAGATGCTGACAAAGTCAATGGACCATGAAAGGTAGGCCGCATCCAGCATTTGATGCATGGGCTGAGATTTACTACGCAAGATGCATTTATGGTCCAAGTTTCGTTGGTCTAGCACTTTCAGAGAAACTAACTTAATCGCAAAAAAATAATGTTGACGTCGTCGACGGAAAAGCAACACCTTAGTCACGCTTCCGCTACTTCATCACAGTGAAACAAATACAATGATTTTTTCAGTTGAATAATACACTCTTAATTACACTCTGCAACACCACTAGCGAAATAAACTTTATTCCTACTGTCAACAGTTTAAGCGTTTCAGGACTTTCAGTACTTTGATTTATTTAATTACAGGTGAAGTGCAATCAACCAATGTATACAAAGGAATTTCGCAAATGTCAATCATGAAGCTCTCAACCTGGAGAAACGGACGGACGCTGCGCTATCGCAAATGCTCACTGGCACTTGATTCAAACATATTTTATTGATACTGGCACTTCGTCCTAGACGAGTTAAATTAAATAAAAAAGATAAACTGTTTTCGGTAACGTCAAAATAAACAAAAAATTCAAAACATATATTACTTTGCACCAGCATCTTCAAATATGTCAGCCCAATAATCGGGGTCGTACAAGGAGGCGTGGAATTTCGGAGCAAAGTCTCCGTAAGTGAAGGACGGCGGATAGTTGTCTTCCATGAATTTCACATAGGAGGCTTCCTTGTTGTGCAAATAGTACCAGAACCACGCAGACTTGAATGCAGGAACAGAGAATACACCCCAGTGCAGAAATATCCCGACTTTCGCTTCGTCGTACCACGGCGGGAGCGGTCTGGAATCCAGGGACGCCCAGTTCGGTTCATACTTCACCGAAACAGTTGCTGTCACTGCAATAATTACACAAAACAAACGGAGACTGACTGCAGTAGCCTCCATATTGTTGTTGTCACGAGACGTAGATGCGCGATCAGCTGTACATCAATGTCTCACCTGTGTTTGTTTGGCATGTAAGCGTGTTTAGACAGCGATTTAGTTGTTTAAAATTTTTATAAAAAAAAATCGGAGATAGTACTCTTCATACACGATTAAAGAAAGCCTAGAGGAGTCCATTTTTGAAGAAAATAATTTCCATTTTAATTCGTGAAATATTTATAACTGGTTTATTCATCAACAGACCATGAAGAATATCCTTCTATATTCCACAGGGACATGATCAGCATTTAATTTGTTAACAGCTAACATTTGGACGTAACTTAGATGTTCAGTGTAATTTTTAACTGTTACACGTTTTAAGAGTTGAGAACAACTTTCTGCAAAAATGTCACCCCCAATGATGATCTATACACGCACGACTATATAACATGTCATTATTGGCGGTGGCGTGTAAAATTACTCTGAACACCTTAATTTATGTCCAAATAGAACTCTGACAATTCTTAGGTCCCTGCATGTGCTCTATCCCTCAAACGTTGTTTTCAAGCTAAAAAGGTCATTTAAAAATTCATATACTGCAAAAGAAGGGATAAATTCTTTTTTAAAGTTCAAACTTATATCGTGACCGCGTATTTCGTGACGTTTGGAGGGAGAACAAAGACTTATCTCATCCTAAATTTCGAACTTTGGATTTGCAAGTATGATCTTTTTCAGTTCGCCCATTATGATTTATATTCAGGGGAAGTTATAACGCTTCAACGTTAATCCCAATCGGGCACAAGTCGTTTATGGAAAGTACCGCAGGTTCTCGGGTTTCGATTTTCTATCTTTATGCATATATAACACGTACAATGCAGGGGCGGATCCAGGATTTCCTAAAAGGGGGGCCGAGAATTTTTTCTCAATAGTCCACGGTGTGTTGCGAAAGGCAGCAGCCCGAGCGCGTAGCGCGAGGAGGGGGAGGGTACAGACCCCCCTCCCCGTAAGGGGGGTTTGGGGGGTCTCCCCCCCCCCCCCCAAAAAAAAATGTGTTTTCTAGAACGTCTCAGAAGCGATTTCCCGTGTTCTGAGGATTGTTTTTATGTTCAATTAACAAGAAGAAAAAAAGCATATTTTAAGTATGGCCCAAAGACTTTTTTTTATGTACTGGAAAGAAAATTAAAGTTTCGGTTCAAATTCTCTATCAACAGCGTGTTTTAGAAGTCAGATGGTATTATTATAGGGGCAACCTGGTGATGACAAATGTATGAATCCACAGGGGGCTTGTTCATTATTACCTAATTTGGCGTCCCGCCCGCAAGGGGGATACGAGAGGTCCACCGTCAAAATATAAAT